CCGTGTGTTCCCACTTTCCTCGTTAACCCTCTGTGTATTTCTGTCTGCGTCTCCCTCTGTTCGGCGTCGCGTTCTCCCTCATGTTTTGTGTTATTCTCCCCGTGGTTCCTGGTACATCTCATGTTTAGTTTTTCCAGTTTAGTTCAGTACTGTTTTGTGTTTCACCTTGAAGCCAGCATTAAAGCTGTTTTTGAGTTTATCCCCGTGTCTGTGAGTCTGCATCTTGGGTCCTTCTCCTGCCTGGCACACAACGAATCATGACAGTGATATAATAATGAGGCAATTTAGCTGAGACCAATTAAGTTAATAAAATACAATTGAACATAATTCACATCAAAAATACAACCTTGGTGTGCATTTTGAAAGATACAAATCTCTCTTTGCTGTCTTCTCTTTGACCTCATCTCCCAACAATTCATGATATCTGAGGGGTTCTTCCTTCCCAGATAAAGTAATTGAAAGGCAATAACAGTGGATTAACCTGTAACTCATGATCAAATGATATGAGTTTAGATTTCAGTTTTTTATGGGTTGATAAGAGAGAGCATCTTGTCAGATCAGATTACATGTGATACTTATGTAACAGCAGTAACATAGGCGTCAACACTGGAAACAGCAATACTGAGAGTAGAGAAGCAGGTATGCTGACACAGCTCAGTGTAGCCTGAGATCCTTTGTGATGCTGCTGTGTTGCCTGACTGCCTTCTGCCTCGTAGGCAGCCTTTCCTGTGCTGCTGTCCCAATGCGGGACACTAGGAGAGCTCAGCCCACCAGGAACAAGCTGCTGCTCATCTCCTTTGATGGTTTCCGCTGGAACTATGACCAAGATGTGGACACCCCTAACCTGGATAAGATGGCTGAGGATGGGGTGAAGGCACAATACATCACACCGCCCTTCATCACCATTACCAACCCCACGCACTTCACTTTGCTCACAGGTATTTAAAAAGTCTTAACGTCTGGATAATATTATATTCTAGAGAGCTTAGATAAGTTGTTGCACCTTACTGGTACAAAAACAGAATTGTCCATGAACGGGTATAAACCAGTCCTCGTTTAGACCAACATTAAGCTGCAGCTGTCTGATGAAGCGCGCTGAGATCCAGCGTGGAGGCGACTCTTGATGTGATTTGAAACTATAAATAAATTGAATTGAAAAAGAGAATGATATTAGAGAGATATTAGTTATTCACTTAGGGCTGCATGGTGGTTAGCACTGTTCATGTGGGTTCTCTCGCTGGCTTCCTCCCAAAGTCCAAAGACATGCAGTTAGTGAGGTTAGGTTAATTGGGAACCCTAAATTGCCCATAGATGTGAATGGTTGTCTGTCTCTATGTGTTAGCCCTGCCACAGGCTGGTGACCTGCCCAGGGTGTACACCGCCTCTCGCCCTAAGACAGCTGGGATAAAGAAGAAGAACTAGAAGGCTATGTGCAGCTTTATCAATAAAAAATAATAAGATATGCCTGACTGCAAAGATCACTGTGAATTCATTGGATTTATACAGACATCACTGATGTCTGATTAAGAATTAATCTAATAAATATTAGTTATATCGCAGTATTATTAAAGCAATGTTGTTTCACTATAAACTATCCCTACTTGTTTCATCTAGTGCATTAATAACATTCACACCATTGGTTTGAAGTGTACTTTATACTTTCTCCTGGATACTGAGGAGTAAAAGTTGTGCACATGTTTCCTTTCATAATTTGTGCTTCATTTTTCTAAATACGACTGTGGTTGTTGTTCAGATGTTACTAAAGTCTCTGTGTCTATTGAGCAGTGGCTGGACCACGGGTACACAACAAACCTCCTGCTAGTACAAAGAGATGTAGATTTAGCTCAGGTCTGACCAACTGTCCACTGTAGTGGATGTGATGGTAGATGCACCTTTATTTCCAACGAGCTTCTTCAGCCGAGCCACAGTCATCCCTGCTCACAGTGGCAGACTGACTTATAGAAACAGAATTCAAACAAACACAAATAGAAACAGTCTTTTAAAAAGATGAAGCCAACGTGATCTACATCTGCTGCAAGACCATCCTTTCAGAAGTGTTTGTACATAAATCTGAGAACAAACACAAAGGATCATATTTTGATGTTAGTGGTTGATGCGTCTTATAATCTGGTGTGCCTTATGGTCCGAAAAATATGGTATATTACCAAAGGACTTTTAACATTTACCCTTACGTTCTCTTAACGCTCCTCATTAGTGTTTCTTTCTTCTGTCTGTCAGGACGCTATGTTGAGAATCACGGAGTAATCCATAACATGTGGTTCAACACTACTACTCAGGAGAAGAAGGGGTACTACATGACTCAGTTTGTTGATTCATACTGGGACAATGGCAGCTTACCCATCTGGATAACAGCACAGAGACAGGTTCTTTAGATTTGTCTGTACCGTACCTCAATGATTTAAAGTTCCTGTGTCATGAAGCTGTTTCCCTTGTTTTAATGTAGTTTAATGTCCTTCCTCGTCTCCTACATCTCCTTCCAGGGTCTCAAAGCAGGATCTCTACATTTCCCTGGCACAGCAGCCACCTACAAAGGGGAGACTGTCAGGGTGAGGGAAGTGGAACCACGTTTATATGATTATTCTAATGAAACAGAGTGGAGGCTGAACATCGACAAAGTGATTGGAGAGTGGTTCCACCAACAGGACCTGGACTTTGTCTCTTTGTATTTTGGAGAACCAGATGGGACTGGGCACCGATATGGACCAGATTCCCCAGAACGCCGGGAAATGGTTCAACAAGTGGATCGTACTGTGGGCTACATCAGGGATAAAATCCAAGATCATGGCCTTACTGACCGACTCAACGTTATTATCACTGCTGACCATGGGATGACTACTGTTCTACGGGGCGCACAGGTTGAAGAGATCATCCTCTATAAGATTCCTGGTTTCAACTTCAGTGATATCCAGTTCCATCTGGTGGACTATGGACCTGTTGGGATGCTGCTTCCTAAGGATGGGATGCTTGAGAAGGTCTACAGTGCCCTCAAAGGAAGTCACCCACATCTTCATGTGTATAAAAAGGAAGAGATGCCAGTGTGGCTGCACTATAGTAAACATGCTCGACTCCTTCCCATCATCCTTTTTGCTGATCCAGGATACGTAATCAATGGGGTGAGAGAATGCATGCCCATCTACTTTCTGAAAATGTGACTCTTTAGCATGTGGCTACAACCCAACACTGTCCCTAGTCAGATCACCCAAGACTTAGTGGATAATAAGAGGTAAACTCCTGCCATGCTCTTAGTATCTCTGAAACCTTGAGGATAACATCAACTACCCTTTTGCACAGCATGATGTGGTCCTACTGAGTAAAACTTCAAATCATAACTCAGGGAAACAAAAATGATCAAATGTATAGTTACATATACTTACTCTTTTCCACAACTCATGGTTTTCTCTGTTTTCTCTCAACTTCTAGTTCTTCCCTGTGCAGTTCAACAAAGGAGAGCATGGCTTTGACAATCAAGTGATGGACATGAAGCCTTTCTTCAGGGCAGTTGGGCCTGATTTCCAGAAGGATTTAGTGGTTGGGCCCTTTGAGACTGTTAATGTGTACCCACTCATGTGCCATTTACTAGGAATAAACCCAGAGATCAATGATGGACACCTCGACAATACCAAGCAAATGCTGCTCCCCAAGAAAAACACAGAAGGTAACAACAGCACTGGCAAATTTTGTGCTATAGAGATAAAAGATAAAGCCCCATTTTTAAATGGTAACTGGACTGACTTACACAGCATCAAACTACTGGGATCAATCCCGATCCCTAGCTATGACTGCTTGTTGGTGTAGGTGATTTTAGGTGTAGAGTATTTCTTTTATTTGTACAAACTAAACACATAAGTAGCACCTCGGATACATAAACACCATTTTTGGTGCTAAAAAAGATCTTTTTTCTCAGTCTTGCTTTTTGCACAGATTTTATTTGTATGGAATGTTGTGGAAGTTTTCCATTAAATAAAGCCTGCATACAAGCGGTGAGCGGCAGCTAACATTCTTTAATCAAAACAAAGAACAGAAAACCAAGTTTGGTGGAGAGCCTGCATGACCGCGGGGCAGACGGTCAGCAGAGTCTCCCTGAGCCTAGCATGGCTCTCAGTTAAAAAACCTTCTTCAGGAACAAAAGGCAGTGCACCGCTGTTTCACACCTTAAGGTTCACACTCCCTTGCTACCTCCCAGAGTCATCGAAGAGACAAAAGATTCTTCCTGTGGAGCTCTGCTTCCCCCCAACTTCCTTACCAGACTCCCACCATCTGTGTAACTGCATGAGTGTGAGACATGCTAAAATCCAGTGGCACCAAGGCATTATACAATAACATAATATGAATAATACATAAATATAAGAAATTCTTGTACAAGCACCAAATCACAAGAACAGTTGTTTTATTAATGTAATTTAAGGACTCTACAACAATACACTAAAAAATCAAAACATAGAAAACCACAGAAATCATATGACCCTTCTACCCACATATCAGGCAGGTCTGGCCCGGATCTGGTATCAAGCCAGCACTGCTGGCTGACTTCTGGCATGATAAGCCGTATGTCATCCAGATGTGGGCCAGCCCTGGCGTAGATGGCACTGTTTATGTGATGGCATGCCATATCTGGCTCGATTGTGGTTTGGTGCATGTGGCCCAGGCTCATACAAAACAGGTCTTCCCTGGGTCCGGCATCAAGCTGGTACTTCTGACTGACTGGTGTCATGGCAGAGTGTATGTCAACCAGATGTGGGCCAGGTCTGGCAATGATGGCACTGTTTATGTTCCTATTTTCCCATTTTAGTTAGAAGACCCAAATGCCATGTTGCAATACTATACTGCTATGGTAGCCAACGTTTCAAATGCAGGTTTGACAGGTTCATGAGTGTACACTTTATCCAAAACCTAGTGAGGGTTTACTCATGTTTGCCAGTGGGTGGCTGTAGCTCAGGAGGTAGAGCAGGTCACCGACTGATTGGAAGGTTAGTGGTTTGATCCCTGGCTCCTCCAGTCTGCATGTCAATAGTGTGAATGTAGTTAGGAAGCACCCAGTTTAGAGAAAATGGGTCAATGTGTAATGAGTACTTTGAGTAATCTGGGAGAGTAGAAAAGTGCTACATAAGAATCAGTCCATTCACTGAACAGAGTTTAGTCATGTTGCTTTTGCACTATTATGTTCCAGCACATGTTGTTATTACATGGCTTGATTAAGCTACACATTAGGCTGACATCTGGGGCCAGAGCTGAAACTGTTCTGGGCCAGCAGTGTGTCTGCAACTGGCTCATGGCTGCACACAACTTACACATGGCCCACACACAGCAAAGAATGACAGCCCTTTGGTGGCCCAGATCGGGTTTGCCAGAGGTAATCCGCACATGGGCCAACACAGGACCACCAGTGTGTCTGCAACTGGCCTTGTGCTGGCCCATGTGTGGGCCACATCTGGCAAACCTGATCTGGGCCACCAAAGGGCCATCATTCTTTGCGGTATGTGGGCCATGTGTAAGTACATTGTGTGGGCCATACCAATTTTGCTATGTGGGTATGAGCAAGTGCTTTGGCGACAGTGGGAAGGAAAAACTTTTAACAGGAAGAAACCTCCAGCAGAACCAGGCTCAGGGACAGGCGGGGCTATCTGCTGTGACCCGTTAAGGTTAGGTGAAGAAGACAGGACAAAGACACACTGTGGAAGAGAATCACTAATAATTTAGTGCAGTCAGGTGTATAAACACATAGTGATTGAGAAAGGTGACTGAAGAAGAAACACCCAGTGCATCATGGGAATCCCCAGCAGTCTACACCTATTGCAGCATAGCTAAGGGAGGATTCAGGGTCACCTGGTCCAGCCCTAACTATATGCTTTAGCAAAAAGGAAAGTTTTAAGCCTAATCTTGAAAGTAGAGATAGTGTCTGTCTCCTGAATCCAAACTGGAAGCTGGTTCCACAGAAGAGGGGCCTGAAAACTGAAGGCTCTGCCTCCCATTCTACTTTTAAATACTCTAGGAACAACAAGTAGGCCTGCAGTGTGAGAGCGAAGTGCTCTAATAGGCTGATATGGTACTACAAGGTCATTAAGATAAGATGGGGCCTGATTATTTAAGACCTTGTATGTGAGGAGCAGGATTTTGAGTTCTGGATTTAACAGGAAGCCAAAACAGGAGAAATATGCTCTCTCTTTCTAGTCCCTGTCAGGACTCTTGCTGCAGCATTTTGGATCAGCTGAAGGCTTTTCAGTGAGTTTTTTGGACATCCTGATAATAATGAATTACAGTCGTCCAGCCTGGAACTAATAAATGCATTAACTAGTTTTTCAGCGTCACTCTGAGACAGGATATTTCTAACTTTAGAGATGTTGCACAAATGGAAGAACGCAGTCTTACATATTTGTTTAATATGTGCATTGAAGGACATGTCCTGGTCAAAAATGACTCCAAGGTTCCTCACAGCGTTACTGGAGGCCAAGGTAATGCCATCCAGAGTAAGAATCTGGTTAGATACCATATTTCTAAGCTTTTCAGGGCCGAGTACAATAACCTCAGTTTGATCTGAATTAAGAAGCAGAAAGTTAGCCGCCATCCAGGTCTTTATGTCTTTAAGACATTCCTGCAGTTTAACTCATTGGTGTGTGTTATCTGGCTTCATGGGCAGATAGAGCTGGGTGTCATCTGCATAGCAGTGTAAATGTATGCTATGTCTTCTAATGATGCTGCCTAAGGGAAGCATGTATAATGTAAACAGAATTGGTCCTAGCACTGAACCCTGTGGAACTCCATAACTAACCTCAGTGTGTGAAGAGGACTCTCCATTTACATGCTAACATAACTGAGTGCAACTGACTAATACACAGAGCAGTGAAAAGTATTTTCTCTTCCAAATTTCTTATTTTTTTAAATAAAAAGAACCAGAGTAAATACAAATGCAATTTTTACAGTTTTAAATGATAATTTATTCTCCATGAATCACTACCGTACTGTGGTAAATGGGCTTGCGCTCCTGTAGGCTCACCAAATGCACGAGGCCCCGTAGGGAGCAGCTACAGAGAAGAGAAAGTGTACTTTATTGGTCCCCGTGGGGAAAATCCCTCTCTGCATTTAACCCATTCACTCAGTGAAGCAGTGGGCAGCCATTGGGCGCCCGGGGAGCAGTGTGTAGGGACGGTACCTTGCTCAGGGGTACCTCAGGGTAGCTGTTCAGGGGAATCGAACCCCCGACCTACCTACTGAGCTATCCCCTACAATGTGTGTTGGACAGCAGTCATGGGCAGGGGCCCTGGCAGCTATGGAGGTAGTCTTCTGGGACATGGAACATCACCTCTCTGGTGCAGAAAGAGCCTAAGCTAGTGCGTGAGGTTGAGCGACACCAGCTAGTCGGGCTCACTTCAACGCACAGCTTGGGCTCTTCAACAGCATTCTGAGAAAGGCTAGGGTCATTGAGTCTGAATGGAACCAGATGGTGGAAACCTGAGGTGAAGGGATGACGATAACTTTAAATCATGTCCACTGATAAAAAGACAACTGACATTTTTGAGTTGAAATGACAGAAAACACACTGCAGCTTGTTCTTAGTTGAGGTAGATGATGATATCTAAATCTATATAATAATTATCACTTTGTTATCACCTCACAGATGGAGTGTCACAGTGTAACACAGATGCAGTGCCATTCCCAGTCAGTAAATATAAATGTCATTACTGTTGTTACTACAGAATGGGGGAAGTTTTATATTCCCAAACAAATCCCTTAATCCTGCCTTCTCTGCTCAGATAAGAGCACCAACCTGTTCAGATATGTGTGAGTGTCTTTGTGTAGCTTTGTCTCTCTGTCTTTTGCGTCGTAACTATTCATGCTTTTCTGTCTGTCTGCAGATTATGAGGTAAATCGTCATCATCAGGCTTTCATTGGCTTATCAGCAGTGGCTGGGTTTCTGGTTCTGATTTTTATAGTGGGAACTTCTTATACTTGGTGTTTAAGGAGAAAAGCAAATAGGTAAAGTACTATAATCATGTAATCATGGATACATCTATCAGTGTGCTTGTTGCCAAATCAATACATAAATACAATTCACATATTAAGGTCAAAACTTTAAAGCAAAGGAAACCCAAGGATTCCCCTTTAAGCAAGCAATAGTAAGGTTGGGTTTGGGGAAACCTTCAGTCAGCTGAGACTGAAAACAAAGTCCAGATGAACAGAATCAACCTTCTGGGATTTACTTACCTGGATGACTGAGCGAGCATCAAGACACCTCTCCTTTTAGTTTCTCTTAGTACTCTTTCTGTAACATTTTGGGTCAAATAAAGGTTTTCAGAGAGTAAAGAAATGACAATACTCCAGCCTAAAAGAAAGACATACATAAGAGTCACCAAGGTAACTCTGAACTTGTGATTGGAATGTGGAGATATTCTGAAGCAATAAAACAGTGAACATAAATCCTGTTAAAGTGCAAATATTTCACTGTTAATTTTGTAACAAAGCTGATGCTGCATCCTGCTATCTGACACATTCTTTTTATTTTTGTCCTCTCTTCTCAGATCCAAACCAAAGCATGCTGCTCCTGCTAGTGGTGCTGCTGCTGCTGCTAATGATGATGAAAAGGCTGACAAAATGCAAACTGTCTTTTAAAAATTTGTTTTACATAATAATCTAGTTTGAGAAATCCTCTATTGTTTAATACAAATGTGAAAGTACAGCACAGAAGCACTTCTTAATCAAAAATAATAATAATTCATGAATCACAGCAGTTCGGTGATTTTGTTTGTTCTCCATTTTTCATTGTAACTCTGATCATTTGTGAACATACTTAAATATACTAGGAAAATGTTTCCTTCCATCTGTCCACATTCTCCCACTTATCCAATTCAGAGTTGCAACCCCTACAACCCCAACCCCACTATACAGGGAGTGCAGAATTATTAGGCAAGTTGTATTTTTGAGGAATAATTTTATTATTGAACAACAACCATGTTCTCAATGAACCCAAAAAACTCATTAATATCAAAGCTGAATGTTTTTGGAAGTAGTTTTTAGTTTGTTTTTAGTTTTAGCTATTTTAGGGGGATATCTGTGTGTGCAGGTGACTATTACTGTGCAGAATTATTAGGCAACTTAACAAAAAACAAATATATACCCATTTCAATTATTTATTTTTACCAGTGAAACCAATGTAACATCTCCACATTCACAAATATACATTTCTGACATTCAAAAACAAAACAAAAACAAATCAGCGACCAATATAGCCACCTTTCTTTGCAAGGACACTCAAAAGCCTGCCATCCATGGATTCTGTCAGTGTTTTGATCTGTTCACCATCAACATTGCGTGCAGCAGCAACCACAGCCTCCCAGACACTGTTCAGAGAGGTGTACTGTTTTCCCTCCTTGTAAATCTCACATTTGATGATGGACCACAGGTTCTCAATGGGGTTCAGATCAGGTGAACAAGGAGGCCATGTCATTAGTTTTTCTTCTTTTATACCCTTTCTTGCAGCCACGCTGTGGAGTACTTGGACGCGTGTGATGGAGCATTGTCCTGCATGAAAATCATGTTTTTCTTGAAGGATGCAGACTTCTTCCTGTACCACTGCTTGAAGAAGGTGTCTTCCAGAAACTGGCAGTAGGACTGGGAGTTGAGCTTGACTCCATCCTCAACCCGAAAAGGTCCCACAAGCTCATCTTTGATGATACCAGCCCAAACCAGTACTCCACCTCCACCTTGCTGGCGTCTGAGTCGGACTGGAGCTCTCTGCCCTTTACCAATCCAGCCACGGGCCCATCCATCTGGCCCATCAAGACTCACTCTCATTTCATCAGTCCATAAAACCTTAGAAAAACCAGTCTTGAGATATTTCTTGGCCCAGTCTTGACGTTTCAGCTTGTGTGTCTTGTTCAGTGGTGGTCGTCTTTCAGCCTTTCTTACCATGTCTCTGAGTATTGCACACCTTGTGCTTTTGGGCACTCCAGTGATGTTGCAGCTCTGAAATATGGCCAAACTGGTGGCAAGTGGCATCTTGGCAGCTGCACGCTTGACTTTTCTCAGTTCATGGGCAGTTATTTTGCGCCTTGGTTTTTCCACACGCTTCTTGCGACCCTGTTGACTATTTTGAATGAAACGCTTGATTGTTCGATGATCACGCTTCAGAAGCTTTGCAATTTTGAGACTGCTGCATCCCTCTGCAAGATATCTCACTATTTTTGACTTTTCTGAGCCTGTCAAGTCCTTCTTTTGACCCATTTTGCCAAAGGAAAGGACGTTGCCTAATAATTATGCACACCTGATATAGGGTGTTTATGTCATTAGACCACACCCCTTCTCATTACAGAGATGCACATCACCTAATATGCTTAATTGGTAGTAGGCTTTCGAGCCTATACAGCTTGGAGTAAGACAACATGCATGAAGAGGATGATGTGGACAAAATACTCATTTGCCTAATAATTCTGCACTCCCTGTATTAATGGCAGCAACATGACTCATAAAAAATAGTTTCCCACTGTGAGGCATCCCATCTTCTTTTAACAGCAGCCAGTAAACATCTGGGAACAGAGGAGAGCAGCTGCTGGGCTTTAGAGAGAGGACTGTTGTCCCTTTCTTCCCTGACAGCGGTTTCTCACTGCTTTGCCGTATTTTTCATTTCATGATGTATCAGATGTTTCGGGTTAGTCAAAGGTCTGGACTGCAGGCAGTTCAACACCTGCACTCTTCTATGAAGCTGTGCTGCTGGAATAGCTGCAGTATGTGGTTTAGTATTGTCCTGCTGAAATATGCAGGTCTCTCCTGAAAAATACGTCCTCTGTTGCTCTTAAACCTGTATACACCTTCCTGCATTGATGGCCTCTCCAGATGTGCCAGCTGCTGATTCAATGAAGGCTGAGTGCTGGTAACAAAGCAGACTCTTCCTCCCGTCTTTAGTCCAAACATGTCGTTTTGGCTGACCTCAGAACAGTTTCCCACTTTGCCTCAGTCCATTTTAAATGAGCGTTGGTCCAGAGAGGACAGCAGAGTGTCTGCATCGTGTTCACATGTGTGATCTGTGGATGGCAGAGCGAGCTGTGTTCCAGCTGAAACCCATTTCCATGACAGACTCACAGGTGTGAGTCTCTGTGTGCAAGTTTCAGCCTTGCACACAGAGATTTCTCCAGCTTTAACCGCTGGGCCCTCTTTCATTCTACTTTTAAATATCCTAGAACCACAAGTGCAGTGGAGCTGATGGGCTGGATTCATCAGGCAAGCTCACTTCAAAGAATTGCCCTACGTCAATGTGTCCCAGCTGCCAAAGGGCAAGAATGTCAAAGAACCATTAATTAAATATGCAAAGATTACAAGACGCTTCAAAGGAAAAATCCCCTTTGGCAGCCCCTTTTTCAAAGCTAACAGATAAAACCAACATAAGTGGCCCCAGTAAAATCTGAATGCTTAACCGTACAGTCCCCAGGACTCACTGTACAGTTTTAGAGTAAATATAAATGATTTTAATCAAATCCAATGTCTCCACACTCATTAGATTTCAACACAGCTGAACGCTATAATCATAACACAATAATTAAGTAAGCAAATTTATTTCAAAAGAGTTTTATCATCAGGTCCTCACACTACCTCCACCATGTTTGACTGTTGCTGTAATTTCCTTGTTTCTGTAATGCTGTGTTCATTTTAAACCAGAATAAACCTACCAGAAAGTTAAATGTGGTCGTGTCAGTCCACAGAAGTTTTCCCACAATTTTGGGAGGATCATCAATGTGAGACGGGCATTTGTGTTGTTTTGGGGCAGCAGTGGTTTTCACCATTTTTGCCCATCCTGTTTGTTATTGTTGACTCTGAGTGGCATGAGTCCGGCAGTTTACTGAGTTCTTCTGTGACCTCCTGCTTCAGTTGTTGATGTAGTGTTGGAGTAATTTTGGTATGTCACTCCTGGTTGGGCTGAAGGACCGTGATGATTTTAAAGGTATGACTGAACATTTTTTGGAGGATTTCTTCGTATCAATAATAAGCTGTGTTCTGTCTGTCTCTGCAGTGTCTACTTGAACAAAATACACGAGACTCGCGTGAAATGTCACAGGTGGAATCCAGCCATGCTTTTCAGTTCTATCGTCTATATTCTCAAACCTGTCATAGCAGATCAACCCGGCGTTACATGACAGACACTTGAACACTGCTGTCTGACTCTGAAAGTAGAAGGAACCTGGAGAAACACTGTTTTTGTAGGTTGAGTTTATTTTACCTCCGACAACA